AACCTCAGGGTAAATGACATCACTGAGAAATCCAGTAGCAGCTGATAGGAATTGAAAGGGTGGTCGGAAGCCCCAAAATTTAGTATAAATGATGGAACAAATGAACAGACATTCAGCCAGCCAACACCAATGCACACAAGCCTGAGAGCCTGAGGAGGACCTGGACTGACATCACAACTCTTCTCATCTGCCTGATCCTCTGTTTTCTCACTGGTCTCAAACTCTATAGCAGTCTCTTGATTCTGGTGAGAAAAGGACTTCTCCCCATGACCACCTCCTCAGCCAGCCATCAGCTCCAACCCAAGAAAAGCCTGCCTTGGTTCCTGATCTTATCACCACAGTCTGAGTGAGTGTGCATCTGCTGGACTTAGAGCATAAGGCTTGAGACTTTCAATCTGACACTTGAGCTTAGCATGCAGATGGAATGTTTGTAATGAGCATGTCATGATTAAGTGTTTGTAGTGCTTAAAATCAATCTAGAATTGTTTGCTATGAATTGATTATGTCCATTGCAGTGCCTGACATTAAGGATTGTCATTTTCTTGAGTAAGAACCTATACAGTGAAATTATATTGAGTGATTTGAGTAAATAAAGCATTGAAAAGGGAAGCGAGAGGACATTCTTCATTTCTCCCCTCGACTACATAAGTCACACCTTTTGCCCATTGTGACAGTGTTAAAGAATGAATGTTCTCACCCATAATCAGGAACAAGGCAACACTGTACCAGAAGTCTTGCTAGTGTTACAAGTAGCAAAAAAGAAATAAAACTATCATTATTGGCCAATGATGTTATTGTCTATACAGGGTATCTCAAAACAATCTACATGAAGCTTCTAGACCCAATGAGCTGGGCAAGAGCAAGAAATAAGGTTAATATAAAAACACCTGTTGTAAATAACACAAGAAACATGAAACTCTTGAATATATGCAAGATTTGTATGCTGAAAATATACACCTTGAAAAGAAAAATTACAGACCTAAACAACTGAAAAGAACCAGATTTGAAGGTGCATGCCTATAACCCCAGCTACTCAGAAGACTGAGGCAGGAGGATGGCAAGTTTAGGTCAGTCTCAGCAACTCAGCAAGACCCTATCTCAAAACAAAAAATAAAAAGGGCTGGAGATGCTGCCCAGTGATACAGCATCCTGAGTTCAGTTCCCAATACTACCAAAAATGAACAAACAAAACACCTAAAAAGATAAAATCATGCTGGGCGTGGTTGTGCACATCTGTAATCCCAATGGCTCAGGAGGTTGAGGCAGGAGATCACAGTTCAAAGCCAGCCTCAGCAATTTAGTGAGGCCCTGAACAACTTAGTGAGACCCAATCTCAAAATAAAAAGGGCTGGGGATGTGGGTAGGTGATCAAGTGCCCTAGGTTCAATCACTGGTACCAAAAATAAATAAATAAATAAAATTATACATTGGAAGATTCAGTATGGTTAGCTATCAATTCTCCCCAAATTGATCTACACATTCAATATGATCTCAATTGACAAATCTGATTCTAAAATTCATATAAGAAAACAAAGGATCATTGGGCATGATGGTATGTGTCTATAATCCTAATGACTGGGAAAGCTGAGGCAGGAGGATTACAAATTCACAAGCAATTTAGCAATGTCCAGAGCAACTTAGTGAGACCTTGTCTCAACATAAAAAATAAAACTGGGCCTAGTGGCACACACCTGTAATCCCAGCAGTTTGGGAGGCTGAGGCAGGATAGTAAGTTCAAAGCCAGCCTCAGCAAAAGCAAGGTACTAAGCAATTCAGTGAGGCCCCATTTCTAAATAAAATACAAATAAGGCTGGGGATATGGCTCAGTGGTGGAGTGCCTCTGAGTTCAATTCCTGGTACCCAAATAAATAAATAAATAGGATTGGAAATATAAGGCATTATTGTCCATCTACAACTACAAAAAAAAATTTTTTAAGTAATAAATACAATAAAAAAGGAACACCCCTGGGTTCACTCCCCAATACCAAAAAAAAAAAAAAAAGGGGGGGAGCTAGAATAGTTAAAAAAGAAGACCAAAACTGGAAGAGTCATATTATCCAATTTCAAAACTTACTATGAAACTATAGTAATCAAGACAGTATAGAATTCAGGGTAATGATAAGATATACAGATCAATGAAACAGAACAGAATTCAGAAATATATCCATACATAAATGGATTAAATCTTTGCCAGATTTTTTAAAAATACTTTTCTTAGTGTATATCACTTTTTTTTTTCTTTTTGGTACCAGGGATTGAACTCAGGGGCACCTAACAGCTGAACCACATCCCCAGCCCTTCTTTTGTATTTTATTTAGAGACAGGGTCTCACTGAGTTGCTTAGGGACTCGTTAATTTGCTGAGACTGGCTTTGAACTCTTGATCTTCCCACCTTAGCCTCTGAAGTTGCTGGGATTACAGGTATGTGCCACTGTGTCCAGCTCTTAGTATATATCTTTTAAAAGTAAATATAAGGGCTTTAGCTCTATGGTAGAATGCTTGCCTAGCACATGTGGCACTGGGTTCGATCCTCGGCACTGCATAATAAGGAAATAAAATAAAGGCATTATTGTCCATCTACAACTACAAAAAAATTTTTTTAAGTAATAAATACAATAACATAAAAGAAAATGCAGTTTAAAATTTTTCAAATAATATTGATCAAGTTATTGTACTCATAAAAATTTATTCCACAGATGTACTCCCATGAGTTTAATATGATACCCACACACATATATACTCTAATAACTTATGTCTATATGTGCTAATATGGAAAGGTGTATAAAACATATCTGCAAAACAAGCAAGTTGCAAATAACTGGCATACATATCTGTGTATGCATAATCACTTTTGAAAATACAAAAAACAGATAATACAATTTGAACATTCCCAATCTGAAATTCCAAGATCAGAATTGCTCCAAAATCCAAAAGTTCTTGAGCATCCAAAAACAATTTCCCACTTGAACTCATCTGACACATCACAGTCAAAATGTAGATACACTTAAAAATACTGTATAAAATTGCCTTCAGCCAATCCTAAAGAACCAAAGACTGAATGTCTTCTCTGATATGCAGATGCTAGTTTACAATGGGTGGGGGGGCTAGGGAAAAAAAGAATTATTCTGGATTAGATAGAGGGGAGTGAAGGAAGGGATAGGGGTATGGAAGTAGAAAGGATAGTAGAATAAATCAGACATTATTACCCTATGTGTATACATGATTACACGACTGGTGTAATTCTACATCATGTACAACCAGAAGAATGAGAAGTTATGCTCCATTTATGTATGATGTGTCAAAATGCATTCTACTGTCACGTATAACAGAACAAATTTTAAAAAGTTGCCTTCAGGCTACACATATATAAGGTGTATATGAAACATAAATGAATTTAGTATTTAGACTTTCATTTTCTTCTGAAGATCTCATTATGTATATGAAATTATTCCCAAACTGAAAAATTCCAAAATCCAAAACATGTCTGGTCTCAAGCATTTCATTTAAACCTGTAACAGTTACTTCTGAGGTATAAGGGTGGTGAGAAATGCGAATTTTTATCTATGAGCACCTATTATTTTAATAACTTTTTCTATTTTATGAATCTTTATAGAATCAGTATAAGAATACAAAACAATGGGTTGGGGATGTGGCTCAATACAAAACAACGGGTTGGGGATATGGCATGCACGGGGCGCTGGGTTTGATCCTCAGAACCACATAAAAATAAAAAGAATAAAGATGTTGTGTCCACTGAAAACTGAAAAATAAATATCAAAAAATTCTCTCTCTCTCTCTCTTAAAAAAAAAAGAATACAAAACAAAACATTTCTGGCACCAAAATAAATTTTTAAAGCATACAATGACCTAAAAATTGAACTCTCTGAGCCACCCATCTCTCTGAGTCTTTGACAAGTTGTTTGTTTTTATTTTGTTTTTAGCACTGGGGATTGAACTCAGGGACACTTTATCACAAAGATACACCTCTAGTTCTTTTATTTTTGAGACAGGGTCTTGCTAAGTTGCTCAGACTGGCCTCAAACTTAAAATCCTCCTGCCTCAGTTTCCTGAGTCACTGGGATTTCGGGTGTGTGCCACTGATAGGTTTTTTGGTCTCTAGACTCTGAAGAAATAGCATTTGTCAACCAAGTGAAGCATACACTAAATTCTCTATATTCTAAGTTACATTTGAAATATCATGGCACAAATAACTAGTTTGAAATTTTAAAATACAAATTCACATTTAAGAAATTCTGTTTTCATATTTCAGTAATTGTGTACTGGACTAGCTTATGAGATCCATGAAGACAGGGGCCATGTTTAATACATCATGCATACATAAAGAAATGCATGAATGCATTAATGTTAAGTCAAGTCCTTCATGGTAATGTGTTTATTTACAGGCACATAAGGATTTTTGTTTTTACATATATAATAATAGTTTGAGAAATTCACTTACACTCTATTTTCTTCAAAGTTCATCTTTAAAAATGAGGAAGCCAGGGAGTAGGAATATAATTCAGTAGCAGAATTTGCCAAAATTGCACCAAGGCCCTAGATTTGATACTCAACATATACACGCACAAAAAAGAAACTAGATTAGATTACCTTTAGAATACTTTCTAGATTTTAGGATTCTTTGATTTTCTTACTTTACAGTATTGTCTCAGAGGCTTGAGACAAGATAAACATTGAGCCAATATAGACTTCTATTTCACTTTCAGCACTGTCACTCTCATACTTGGTTAGCAACTTAATTTCTAAAAGTCTCCAATTCCTTCTATACTTATGAGGATTAAAAAAAAAAATCACTTCTTCAGAGTATTATGAAAAATAATTTGCATAATGCACAAAAGCATAACTACACAAATGGGAGTACCTTATAATGATAGTCTGGGCAATAATAGCAATATCACAGAATGGAACTACTCCTGTTAAGTGATGAAGGCATTAATGTTTTGTAACAGGATTATTTATACTAAAAAGGCAGATGCACTCACTTCTGACAAAGCTGATTAAAAAGAATTTTAGGAGAAAGTGGTCCTTTTTCTGTCTCCTTCATGCTGTGAAGAAACAGGAACAAGGCTGAAGTCAGCGGTCCAGGGCTTGAAAGTTCCACCACTAATAGATCCTTTAAAAACATGACCAACTCTATGTCAGAAACACACAGTTTTAAAACATTATTTTTAAAAATCTAAGAGTTACACTTTATTTAAATGAAAACAATGAAATTGGCTAATGTATGTTAAGAAATGTTATTCCTTTATAAAATGGACATATAAAAATAGAAAATAGGATTAAATGTTTTACCTTGGAAAACAGCTATTTTCATATCCTCTGCACTTTATTTAATAAAGCTTGAGTTTAATCATTACTCCTTAGCTGTTTTAACTGCCCCTTAACGGGTTCTCCTATAAATAAAACTACTAATCTGCTTGATATTTTTACTTTTCCACAAATAATCATAAGTTATATTTACTAGCAAAAACTCCATACACTTCTTTTCCCCAAATATTTTAGTAACAAAATAAGGAATGGGGAATTATGTGATAAAAATCAGTATACCGTCTTCCTCTTTTACAGAAAAACAAAGTTCGGGGCTGGGGCTGAGGCTCAGTGGCAGAGCACTTGCCTAGAATGTGTGAGGCACCGAGTTCGATCCTGAGCACCGCATATAAATAAAAAAATAAATAAAGGTTCATCAACAACTAAAAAAAAGAAAAACAAAGCTTGACAAAAGCAGCTAAGATTATACAAAGGATTAACCCAATTATTTTTCTCCCAAGTTTTGCTTTCTAAAATACATTATTCCCTTTGTCTTTGAAAGAACAATCTGAGATTACTTCATTGGGCTAAATGTTTTGAAATCTTCTTTTTAATTGTTTTCAAAGGTCAGATCATGAACTATCCACATACACTCTTTTCCTCTATCAAAACTCTCAATTTCTAACTAACATTATTATTTGTAGTGCAGGGCCCTCCAGGCAAAGTCCTCCAGGAACACACTTGAATTAAGTTGATCACTTGTTGTAGTGAGGTAGAACACACACCTTGGAGAACCATGAAGTGTCCCAGTAAGAGGTTCTATAAAGAAGGATTTGGGATTTGGTTAGGTAATTTGGGGAGGGAACTAAGGAAGTGGAGATTTACTCTAAATTGGATGCCACCAGCAAATGGAGATAATGCTATACTATAACTGAGTATCTCAGTAAGTCTTATCTCGGGAGAGAGAAGGGATGAGGATGAGGATAAAACTATATCTGTTAAAGAAGTAGCAATCATGGGGCTGGGGATGTGGCTCAAGCGGTAGTGCGCTTGCCTGGCATGCTTGCAGCCCAGGTTCGATCCTCAGCACCACATGCAAACAAGGATGTTGTGTCCACCAAGAACTAGAAAATGAATATTAAAAATTCTCTCTCTCCCCTCTCTCACTCTCTTTAAAAAAAAAAAAAAAAGAAGAAGTAGCAATCATTCATTTCTCATTTTGTCCAAGACAGAAAGGTTACTGGGATTTTCTAAACGACAGATAGGTCTTGTTTTTGTGTGTTTAGACAAAATTTATGAACTGATCTTGCTTTGTCTCACTTTAACACTGTCCTCAGAGAAACCTAGTATGAGACTTTTCTTCTGTGAGATTCTCCAAACATGGCCTCACTGTGGGAGTTAAACCAGGTTCTGAATGTCAGGGGCTTTTTTTATTATTGTTTTTTCTTTCTTAAAAATCCATCATCAGACTAGGCTTCAAAAGAACCTCCAGGTGCTGATTAAGTCTACTGTTAAATTTAAATAAATGTCACCAGCAACCACAAAATAGGGGTACTATTTTGCTCAACAAGTAAAACCTGTTTTACTTTTTGCGTTTGTTTAAAAGCTGCCTCAATATCTTCACATTGTTTGATCTATGATATTGGAACAATAACTTATATTTTCATATACTTTTTTACATATTTTCACAAAATGCTTTTGAATTCTCTTTTTTAAAAAAGTCTTCTGACTCCCATCCCAATTAATAGCTCTGAGAAATAAAAGACACTTTGGGAACATCAGCAGCTGATCTGAAAACAGCCATTATCCAGATAGTATACTTCTTACTCACCAACTGAGACTCTGAGGAAGGAGAAATCTTGAATTTTGTACCATCTTCTTTTATCTCATTCATCAGCTCAAAAAGTATGTAAGTCTGGGCCAAGTTCTAAAAGAGAGTAAAGTCTTCTAATTCAGTTACATTATGCCTCTAATCTTATGAAATGAATATTCTCTCAAAGTGTCAAATTTCGGGCTGGGGATGTGGCTCAAGTGGTAGTGTGCTCGCCTAGCATGCGTGAGGCACTGGGTTCGATTCTCAGCACCACATAAAAATAAAGATATATGTCCATCTAAAACTAAAAAATAAATATTAAAAGAAAGTGTCAAATTTCATCCAGCATAGCAAAACTTCTATTTAAAACATTTTAATTTGAAATGAGTACATTTCATATTTAGTAAATGTCACTATTACTGATGAAGCCATGGTAAAACACATAGAAGGCCTTTCGGAAGAACTGTATAAAAGGTATATGCATATGGTGATGGCCAAAGACAGCCTACAACAAAAAGAAAGCAGAAAGAAAATTTTAGTAAACATTCAGCAGTCGTTCAATCATTTACAGGTATGCTGAACGCCCATTTAAATTAATTAAAAATTCTTTATATTTTATTAATCTCTGGTGACATTTACCTGAATGACTGCATTAAAAAAACAAGTATTTCCTAAATTTATAATTCCTTTTACAGATGGTACACTGCTGCCTTTTCTTCCCTTCTTTATTTCACCTGCTTCAAATTTTTCTTCACAAAGTTTTAGGATTCTTGAAAATGCATCTACAAGTTAAAGAAAACAAAACTGACATGAGACTTAAAATTTTAAGTGTCACTTGACAATGTAAATATATTATTTAAAATTAAATAAGATTATCTCTCTGAATCAGTGTTCCTAAAAGACAAACACAAATGTCTTTGATTTTCTATCTTATCACTATGAAATTCATTTTAATGTACAGATCTATGCCTCACATCACATAAATAAATTCTAGATGAATTTTAAAAGTATATGTAAAGAAATATAGTAAAAAAAAGTAGAAAAGATCTAGCTTCTAAAGGTCGGAGATGTAGCTTAGTAGTAGAGTATTTGCCTAGCATGTTTGAAGTCCTGGGTTTAGTACCCAGCACTGGGGGCGGGCGTGAGGGGTGGGGGTGGTGGAGGAAGGCAGTTTCTAAATACCACTCTCCACTAAAAGGAATGAGGATTGATAGGGCAGGAAAGATGCAAAATAAGCCTATAAAATTTATCTTGTATCAAAGAATAAGAAAATATTCAAAAATAGTGGGACTATATCAAAATACACAGGCACCATACTGAATAGATTCCTACTGCCCAATGTAGTAGGATAGTATAATGGATTATTACACATAGAATGTGTCTGAATAGGTAATGGATTTTTTTAAAAGGGGGAAAAGGAAAGAGGAGTTCCTTAGAAATGACAACTAATAAACAAAAGAAATGATGGATCAGAAAAATCAGCATCTTTTAGTGGTAATTTTTTTTCTATTATTCTTGCAACTTTCCTGTGAATTTGAACTTGTCAAAATTCAAAGTTTAAAAAAAAATAGTGCCATAGTATAATACAAAAAGTAAAATACCAGGGCTGGGGCTATAGCTCAGTGGCAGAGCACTTGTCTTGCACATGTGAAGCACTGGGTTTGATCCTCAGCACCACATAAAAATAAATAAATAAAATAAACACATGTTGTCCATCTACAACTACAAAAAAATATTTTAAAAAAGTAAAATACCAAGTGTACAATAAATAGCTGTTCTGTGCTGTTAATATAGATCTGAAAGTTACATTACCAGCTCATGTTTAATAACAACGTAAAAATGAAGAAACCCTAAAATTAATGAATTGAAATGGTCACTATACATCTCTCTGGATTACTTTTAGTAGCTAATACATAAATGTAAATAGTTGTTATACCACCAAGTATCAAGTACAACATATTTTCTCATAGTTTTCATAAATATTTAATAAGCTAATAACTGCAAAGTGCTAGCATGGTAACCACTATGTATCTGAAAAACAGCTCTGAGAATCTCCTCAAAAATGCAATTTGTGGGGCTGAGACTATAGCTTGGTGACAGAGGACTTACCTACATACGAGAGGCACTGGGTTTGATCCTTAGCACCACATAAAAATAAACAAAATAATGACATGCTATCAACCTACAACTAAAAATTTTTTTTCCAAAATGCAATTTATGCCAAAATCCACATCTTTGTGAGCCATTCTTCATGTCCATTGTTTATCTGATCTCCCTTTTTTCTTTCTTTAATCATTTCCTACACATTCTGAATATTTGTTCTTTCAAGGTTATTTCTTATTGAATTTTCTGAATTGCTGATATCTGTTTTGTGTTTCATATTGGATTTGTGTTTTTCAAATATCTTGTCTTCTTTCTTTCCTTCTTTTGTGTGTGCGTGGGGTGGAAGGCGCTAGGGCTTGAACCCAGGACCTCATTCATGCTACACAAGGGCTCTACTAGTGAGCCCTATACTAGCCTAGCCCAACTTTTCTTTTGAAATTGTGGAAACAGGCCTAGAGTTGTAGTTCAGTGGTTCAGCATTTGCCTGGCATGTGTGAGGCACTGGGTTCAATTCTCAGAACCACTTACAAATAAATAAGTAAACAAAATTAAGGTCTACTGACAACTAAAAAATAAAAAAAAAATTAAAAATGTGGAAATATCTCATGAATTGGTAGTTTCTAATATTTTTTTCAGCAAACAAATCTTTTTCATAGAAAATATTTTTCTTCCAATTCTGTAAACATTTTTTGGGGGGAAAGGCAAACCTTAACTGTTTCTCCCTTTATTTTGGTTTGCTTTTTATAAAAAAAAAATTATTAGTAATTATTGGATATCTGTTATCCAGATATTAAGGAGTCATTTTTAATTCCCAACCCCAGAATCCTAAGTTAATGCAGAAAATAGGTCTCTTCTGTCCTCCACATATTGAAATAAGTGATGAGAAATGAAGCCTCTACTACAGCTTAGAGCATAGGCCACTAAAATCAATGAAGCAGCTCACTGAAGTATAGAGGCATGAGGAAAAGGAAAAGGCAGAAGAGACCAACAGTATTCAAACCAATCAGTGAATACAAAGGCAAATGAAAAAAGTCAACACTTTAAAAACAGTACACAGAGGAAGCCTGATATGGATCCTCGCTGGGTTTGTAGACAGAGCCGTCTGCCTCTTATTTATGTCTGGGATTCCAATTAGAACCTAAAATGGGCAAGTTTTAGACTCTCATTATATCTGTTGCCAATAGATAGTTTCACAGTGATTTTTGTATGTTAGGTATATGCATTCACAGTGATTTTTAAGAAATTTAAAATCAAAGAATAATCAAATCCAAGCCTCACTCCATCTTTTCAGGTAAGGTAGTTAACTCTGATTTTTACATTTATAAAACTTAGTCCCAGACAGGTTAAATGACTGACTCACAGTCATAGTGATAATTTTCTGATTACAAATCCATTGTCATTTTACCACTTAAATCCTCACCCATTATTTATGTACAATGAGATTAATTATAAAAGATAGTGGGGCAAAATTTTTGTAGATATGGGCATAGGCAACCCCAAACAAATATGATTCCTCAAAGTATTTCAATAATAAATATCGCCCTAATGCCTTTTAGCTTTTAACATGAAAACAGAATAGTTGGGAAAATAAACTATAGATTATAACTATATATAAATATAAAATACACATTATTCACTTGGAAAAATACTCTCAGAAAATTATATTTTAATCACAAAAAAACAATATTTTAAAAACCATAACATGCAAATAATTTACATGTCTGTATCACATTTATTTGTCAGTTTTCAAAACATCTGGGATGGCATACCAAAGTAAACAATGTTCATAAGACCATCTGGACAGAACTGCAGGCAAAAAAAAAGCATAAACATATGGAAAAACAGATTTTCCCCTTCCCTTCAGCAGTAAGGGATGACAAATGTCAAACCTAGATATATCCACGCTTCACTGTGCGATGCTTTTCAGCACCACCTGGCTCTCCATGCATAGCCACCAAATATGGACAGCACTGCCAGAAAGAACATATCCACAGGGCAATGGCAATAAAAACAGTTTATTTCATGGTTAAATAGCCTCTTCACACAAGTGGCAAGGGTCTGTTTGTTGACTTTTACATTAAGTCTATGAGAAAATATTCAAGATTAATCTTATTAGACTTGAATATTAAACAAATCAGTTAATTTAACTAGAAAACAGAATAACATTTTCTAAGATACTAAAATACTTGTAAAAATGCCTTTTTTAACAAGTATTTTATTTAAAGTAAAAGCGCAAGTTTTTTAAACTTTACCAATAGCACAGTTATAATATATAACAATTTAAATTAAATTGATTCACAAATGTCCACTGTGTTCAGGTACTATATAAACCATTACCTATAATTATTTACATTTATATGCTTATGGTTTATGACTGAAGTAAAAGGAATTGATACATAATAGAGAGATGTTAAGCATTAAATTTATGACAACAATATTTCAGCAAAACTTCTAGAAACTAAGAATACATATTTGTATATATGTTCATTAAAAAATGCCCAGAGTTAACAGTCTAGTTTAAAATAGAGGTTTTGAATCAGACTTTTAATATTTGACATACATGAAGGTATATGTTTTAATAAGAAGCAATTAATAATTTCTAAACATGATTCTGATTATTTTGTTTGTAGGACAAAAAAGCTTTCTCCATCTGGCAGTGCAAATATTTTAGATCATTTTCACTTTTAAGAACTCTCTTCTTCCTTTTATAAATATAGAATCAAATACCTTAAGACTAAACTTCTAGATGTTTTGAAGTATGGTATAATTAAACGGACAAAGCTGCTACAACACCAACAAATAAGACAAACTATACAAAATTTTTGATTATTATTTCATTTGTTCAATCATCACCTATGAAAAAGTGGTGCCCATAATTAGAAAGAATAATCACAGAATTTCAATGTTATTTTATTTGAAAGGATTTAATCTACTTAAATTTCCTTATTACTTCTTTATTACCAACACTGTATTCTGATATTCCTTTTCATAATAGAATAATATAGACCCAGAAGGCAAAGTACACTGAGAGAAAACTTGGGAGACTGGCGAGGGGTGGGAGCCTGAATTGATTTCAAGGCCTATGAAAGTGCTCTCCCACTGTGCTACACCCTCTGCTCTCCAGCTGAATTTCTTAAAGTCCTTTTGCATTTCTGTAGTTTATCTAAAAGCCTATAATCTGAGTGTCAAAGAACAGCTGCTTAATTGAATAGACCCATAGGTTTTGTACATACCTCAGGTCTTGCAAGACAGAAAACTGTCTGAAGTACCAACAAAGTAAAACAAACAAACAAACAACAACAACAACAAAACTGGTAATCTTAGATAAAATTCAAATTTTTCTAGCATAAAAATAATTTAAACACTTAAAGACCATACAACTGTCATTTTTAGAAAACAAGTTTAAGGTTATTAAATAAATAATAAATATATTTTTAAAAGTCTTTGGGCTGAGGTGTAGCTTGATGGCAAAGCACTTGGAGAAGAGAGGCCCAGGGTTAGAGCCCCAGCAAAAATAACAATAACAAAATGATAATAATAAGGTCCCAGAAAATTTTAAGTTACTATTCTTTATAATCTTAGAGAGCAAAAAGACTTTCAAAGCATGACCCTAAAAGCTAAAAACATATATAGGAAAGACTGATGGGCCTTGGAATAATGACATTAAAAACTTCATTAT